AGGGTAATTGGAACACAGAATATCACAGGGAAAGTTCCTTCCTCTGTGTTTCAGCGGAGGGCTGGAAGCAGACGATCGTTTCCTTTGGCAGGGAAAGTGTCGGCAGGGTCAGGGCTGATGCGTTGTAAATCAGCTTCTTAGAAGGAACAGAACTTGTTTTACTCAGCCTGCTCTTGCCAATTTGAAATCCATGGATTATTCTGCTCGCTGCTGTAGATGCTGCTCTTCAGGTGATAACAAATTCCCTTGGGCACCCAAACTTCAGTGTGAGAGACAAACCGAACCACGCACTGGGTCTTCAGCATCGCCACACTGGGGATCCAAGAGATGTACTTGGCACCCAAGAACCTCTGGAGCCCGTCTGCTCCAGAGGCAGGATGTGAGCAGACCCAAGCAGCATCTCCAGCTGACGGCATCCCTGATGGCTGCATGAGGACATGGCTGGTGGCTGCACGCTGGCATCCCTGTCAGGGGCCAGAGAGTGAGACCTTGTAATAGCCCTGCTCTAAAAGTAATATCAAGTACTTTTGGTTATCTGCAGCTGGCAACACACCCAGCTTCAGATATTCCGGTCTGTGTAATTGAATTATTTAGCGGCTGGCATGGTGTGATGAAATAGGCTTTCTTCCTATTTTTAGGTCCCAATCTACAGGGCTGGAAATTACAGCCATTAAAATGTTCTATTAGTAATGATATATAAAGGGGACAAAACTGATCAGACTTTTCTAGTGCACGGAGAGCATTAGGACATCATTAATTTTAATGATAGAGCCCCAAATTACAAAACTATTACAATCACACTTGAAGTTTCCTAAAGAGGGAGAATCATCCGAAATTATTGCTAATGAGTAAAAAAATATTTAAATCATATTTAACAGACCTTAAAATTACGGCTGACAAGAGCTAATGATGGCTTTGCCTGTGTTTGTTTCTTGGTGCTGGCAAACCCAGTGTCCTGTGTGAGGAGGCAGCAAGGGATGGCCAGGAGGATTCATGGAATGGTTGGGAATGGATTTGCCACAAGCAGCTCTGGAGGGAAAGGGGGAAGAGGCCCTGTGCCTCCAGGGCTGCCGCAGGGCTTTGAGGCCACCACTTAGCCCTTGTTATGGGATTCCTGGAGAAGGCAGGTGCCTTCCCAGTGCTTGAGGACAGTACCTGATGGTATCTGGGAGAGGGCCCCTCTTCCTTCCTTTTCAGTGTTAAACGCAGTTTCCAGTCTATCAGCTGCTGAACAAAAACATCATTACCAGCCCTATATGCTCTAAAGTAGCAGCAATTGATGTCCTATGGAAGAGCGGAGATTTTTATCTTGGTTTCCTTTTAAAGAATAAATGACCGAGGAACAAAGTCCTTTGGCAAAGTGGATGGGGGAGAAGAAGAAACGTGAAGAGATCCATGAGCTGCTCCTGCGCTGCCTGTGGGTGCAGGAGGGAGCCAGTGGGTGCCGATGGGACACTGGGATCCTCTATCTGCTGAGATACACTTGCCACGAGCATCCCCTGGCCCCGGAGCAGCGATGCACTGCAGACACAGCCCAAGCCTCTCCTGTGAACAAGGAACAATTTACTGCCTTGCCCTTGAATGCTTCGGTCGCCTCTAACTCACCAAACCCTTGACTTGCTCATGTAAAACGCTGTTACCCAAACAGAGTGCAAAGCACCGCCTGAGCTCAGGTCCCTCACTGCTGTGCTCTGCTTCATTTTGTCGAGACCACATAGAGCCAGAGGGAAGAAACCCCAGACAAACATGGGCTGATATTGGCGGGTGTGTTTCTTGCTGTGCTCACCCGAGGGGGCAATTTCTCTCTGTTACTAAACCCATGTATTGTTACTGAGCTGGAGTCAAAGCAAGGAAACATCTCCCATTGTCAGCCGGGTGATGCTGGGGAGTTCCAGCTCACTTCCTCCAGTGGCCTTGCTGCTTCCATGGCCTCCCTGCATCCCCTTCCATCTGCTTCCCAAAACCTCATGGGGTTTTAACCCACCAAAAGCCCGGGTCTGGGAGGTTTTGGCTCTTGGTGCCCCATGGCCAATGGGGCCAATGCACCAAACGGAGACAAGGAAAAGCCTTACCTGCTGAATCCCCACTACTCCAGTTTGCTGGCTGCTGTCCCAAAGCTCTGCGAAACATCTGAGAGCAGGATGCCTAGAATAGATACATCAGCCCATAATCGTCTATGCAACATTAAAACTATTTTCCAGGCACCTGATATTTGAGATGTTGCAATAAAAGGGTCAAAACCTCCTCAAATTCATTAGACCATCGCCTCAAAATCACTGCTTCATTAAGAGCAGTGGAGCCGGTCGATAACGGGAGGTGAAGCAGAGCCCTGGAGATTGGCTGCACACACGGTGCTGATAAATGACTTCTCCGTGACTATTCCAGAGCCAGCAAGGGGAAAAATGCCATCCCACGGTTGAACAAGCCTGGTGTTTAGTGAGACACCTCAGGAGCTGCCTCGGCCAGGATAAAACATCACTGCTGCTGCTGCCTTGCAGGCTGCAATGTGACCTTTGGGACAGGCGCTGCAAGAAAGCGTGCCAGGAGCCAGCAGTGCAGAGGGAATAGCCTGGGATCCAAAGTCCCTTTGTCCTTCTTCAGTGTGGCCATTGGCCCCATGGCCTGGGCATCCCCACACACCCACCCCTCACCTTGGGCATGCGGTCCTTTGGGTGCCCCCTCAATGCCACAGCCTCCAGTTCTGCATCCCCAAAGAGTTTCCACTTAATTCAGCCTGATGGGCTCTGGCTGCAGGTGTGGGATGAGCCATACGTAAGGACCCCTTCCTGATGGATACGAGGGAGGGAGAAGACGGACGTTTTTCCCTGGCCAGGGTAATAGAGTCAGCAATTCCACTTGGCTAAGCACATGGCTTTTATGACATCCCTGTGCAGCGTTGAGCAAAACACCCCAGTGGCAGAAGATGTATAACGCTATCTATGGAGCAGTCTATTTCCTACGTGGCAGCTAGCTATTTAAAAAGAAAGCACATCAACACTTTGGAAAATAGGAAGGTCCCCAAAGAGGAGTTTTAGAGTGCTCATTCTGCAGCTTCCCGAAAAGCAGAGCTCATTGTGAGGAGCAGCAAGCACCGGGCGGCTCTGGTCCTGACAGAGCTTAACATGCACCTAACTTTAAGCACACCCATGGTCCCAGTGGAGCTGGGGGCACTGTTGCATCCTTACAGGTTAAACAACTGCTTAATGAAGTTTTTAACACCAAGATTGGCACCAGACTTGTTCCCAACCTCCCCCTGTCCCTGCAAGGGACCTGTGGCCACGAGTCCCATTGCTCCCCCCTGTCCCAGGGTTCTCCTTTGGGATCAAACATGTCAACATGTTCCCTGCTTGTCCTCGCCTCACTGAGGCTGAGATGAATGTGCCTCATCAAGCGTGTCCTTCATGAGGTAGGGGGGAAAAGATGATGTTGTGGAGGATGCACGTGGAGTGAAGCTGGTCTCTCGGAAGGAGAGAGCTCCCCAGTGGTCAGAGGCAGCAAGCAGAGGGCAAAACCTGCCCTCCTGAAGCTCAGACCCTGCAGCCACATGAGCCGAGCAGCCTGGAAGAGAGGGGTCTGGGATGCCAGGGACACTCACGAGGATGATGGTGCTCCCATGCTGAGTCCAAGGGCTGGCAAAGGGCACCTGGAAGTGCAGGTTCAGAGCCACGCACAGGGCTTTTCATCCAGTTTTCCACTCATTTTACATGGCTGATGCTCCTGCTGTAGTTGTCAAACCGCCTCTCCCAGCATCCTTCCCCGCGGTGCTGTGCGACCTCCCAGCAGCACCGACGTCCTTGGCAGGGAAGGAGAGCATCAGCCTCCTCCTCCTGCCCTTGTCTCTGCTGAGATCCAGGTTAAAGCTGATTCCCACATGAGGCTCAGCCACCGCTGCATCCCTGCCTCTCCTGGAAGCTGGGGATGCCAAACGGAGCGGCCTTGGTGGAGCACAAGCCCTTGGTCCGGCTCCGCTCCGGTTTGCTGCCTCAGGAGCTCCGGGATACCTGTAAATTCAGCCTGAGCTTCTCAAATCTATTTGCTTGATCAGATTTATGTAGCAATTCCAGGACGAGGTGAATAATGAAAACGACTCATGAATATTTCATTCTTATAAATCACGTAATTCATATCTATTCACAAATATTTGCTTTGCCTTATAAAGCAGATGAATAATTTACAGAAATACGCAGCAAATATTTTAAAGGAAATATGAAATCCGTCGACTACATTAATCACCAAATATTATTCAACTTCCATTGGTTTAGCTTGCTGACAGATAAATTCTCTGTTTACGAGAGGAGCAGGTGACATTTCCTGTATTAAAACAAGAGGACATGAAGCTCACTTCTCCCTGTGACAGGGGGATTTTCACGCTTCCCTGCTCACTTCAGGCAGGAGACTCAGCCATGGCTCTGGGAGCCTCTTCCCACTCTATGGCTGTGTTCTGGTGAGACCAAAAGGCTTCTGGAGCAAGTGGTGGACCCGGAGCCTTGGTTCCAGCAACAAAGTCCATGCCCTGGGCAGGCATCCGCAAGGAACCATCTTCCTGCATCCCCTTCTTGCTGCCTGAGAAGGGGGTACAGGGGCTTCACCCTCTATGGTGCTCCAGCTTTTTGTCCCATTCCCTTCCAATGCAAAGGGCACAAACCCCATTGTTTGGCAATGGCTGTGGTTCCTTCGTGCCAAGGAAGTGGCTTTTATCCTAAGGATGCATCTCCTGCTACCACACGGCGTGGAGGAGCTGCCTCTACTCGCAGCATCAGGGCCTGTTACAGCAATGCCTTTGCCCATTAATGCCAGAGCCAGGGGCTGAGCCCCAAACCCCTCCCGAGTAATTGGGCTGCCCTGGGCACAGCCACAACACGAGGCACGCGGTCACCAGATTTGCCTTAGCAGATGGGCTGTTACAGCGAGATGGGCTGAGATGGAAGTGTTCTGCTGCCACTTCTACCAAAAGAAGTATTTTTATCCACAGAAAATAACGGTGCCTCAGGGTTGGTTTTTTTTAATTATTTCCTTGCTTTTTCAGTCTTGTTTTGATAGGGGACTTGGCTGCAGCAGCCGGAGCAGTCACTGCAAACACTTCCTTAGCAGCTAAAAGGGAGACAGAGGGAGCCACTTCTGGTGTTCCCGTTTTCCACAGCCAGGGCTACATAGCACCAGCATCCCCCTGATGCCTGCCATCCCCCCCCGGGTCCTGGCCATCCCTTGGGCCATGGCGTGGACCTACCGGCTTCTCTTGGCCATCAAATCTGACAATAAGCAGGAAATAAACTGTTAACTTTCCTGATTTTACAGTAATTCCCCTCAATTATTCAGCTTTTTTAAAAATAGGCTGCTTAAACAGAGTATTAAGAGAGGGCATTAATCCACCTGTGCTTGGATGATAAAGTGATCAATCCCATGTATTTACTTACAGTGATGGTTTGGTGATGAGCACCCTGTCGTTGGTGGGGGCTTTGCCAAGCGCTGCCCTGCAAAGGGCTCCATCCCTTCAGCAGGCACCAGGGATGCAGGGGACAGGCAGAGCATCCATCACCTCCTGAGAAGGTCACCTCAGCCACTCCATATTCATCCATCAAACAGCTTCATTGCGGGGGCCCCACAGTGAACGTTTCACATCCCTGCTTCACCTCGTCTGTTCGGTCCCAGGAACCTCTCCAGTGATGGAAGCGGAGGGGATGGACAGGGCTGCAGGCACTTCACATCAGCACATCACATCCATGCCAAGCGAGGCAGCCCCTGTCAGGCAGGAACGAAGGTTAAAAGGACTTTGTCAGCTCAGTTCTGCAACCCAAATACCAAAGCAAGAGAAAGTAGAAAACCCGACTGACAGAGCTGCAGAGCGCAAAGGAGAGGGCAAAGGCATTGAGAGCCCCCTCTGCCACCTTGGAGGCAGCAATAGCTGCTCCAGTAAGGAGCTGAAATGGCTGAGGCACCCAAACACCAGGCTTTGGTACCTTTCCACATGGGAAACTCTGATTTGCAGAGCAAGAGTGGGGTCTGCCACCATCTCCTCTGCCTTTGCAGTGCAGAGACAAGGCGACAAGGGGACAGGACAGCTTTGTGATGCCTCAAACACACCTTCTTTGAGACCTCCCCAGCCTGAGTTAAGCAGAGACTGGGCACAGATGTGGGGGTTTGAGGCAGGTCCTTGAGCAGTGGGGCTGAAGCCATTCCTCCACACGGGTTTCTTCACCCCAAAGCCAGCAAAACCTGCTGTCCCTTTTTAGTATTCCTGCCATTCACAGCGCATCTCCCAACCTATTCATCTGTAACATCTGTAGGCCTATTAAGAGGGAAATACAATTTCATAGTCACAGATAAGAGATTAGACAGATCAATTGCTCCCTGAGAAACGGGCCGAGGAAAAACTCCTTTCCAAATGGCACCGTGGAAGGTTTTTCTGTCCTGGCTGATTGAGCTGTGGGTCCTGCCACCAGCTCTGCTGGTCCTGTTCTCATTAAGGGAGGAAGGAGTTCGTGTGCTCAATGTTAAGGTACCCAGTGACCAGCCAGGGGATCTGTACTTAGGGATCCTTGGGGGGGATACAGGGTGAGCCCCCCACTTCCAGACCCCCTTTCCCACCTCAGGGGTTTGAGCCTGGATGTTTCCCCCTGTTCTGGTGCAGGGAGCATGCAGCGTGCCAGCACGGAGCACACGGTGTGCCGCGGCAGGGACTGTTACCATCCGATGTGACACGCTGTGCTAGGCTGGGAGAAGAGAGGCTGTCAAAACATTTAGCAGCAGAGGTAAATTGAATGCACCGCATCCACAGATGGGGGATCCTGCACAATGGCTCTCAGAAGGCCTCAAATAACGTGAAAAGTGGTGCCACAGAGGCAGGCAGAGCCACATCCCTGCGTGTGCATGGCCATGACCCGTGGCTGGCAGAAGGCAGGAGCATGGCCCCATGGCTTCTCACAGCGCCATCTGCAAAGAGCATCACTGGTACCCACCCCAGCGGCCAGGGGAGGGGGTGAGGTGGGTGCAAAGGGGAAAAAGGGCTGGGAAAACACAGGGACATGGCCCCAGGGGCTGCTGGGATGGCCAGAGGCCACTGCTCCCCCTGGACCTTTGGGAAGGAGCAGGACCCGAGCCTTCCCCAGGAGCTCCTCAAACCTGCCTGTGTTCAGAAAACCCTGCATTATTTATAGGCTGCTATCATCCCCCAGGTATTATTTGTGTAACCATTAGTTTCTGTAAAGTGTATGAAAGCAGCTGTAAAATACCAAGCATCTCCTCACCTCAACTGGGAGCTGATTATTTTCCTGCCTGATTTATCAAGCTCCATCTCGGCGACTTAACCCTTTGCAGCCATCACCAGGGAGGGGTGCGAGCACTTTGCAGCGTTGTCAGTCCTCAGCATTGGCTCCTGTGGAAGGGCCTGAGCACCAGCTGCAAGGAGAGCATTGGGTTGTTCACTCCTGCACTGGAAGCTTCTGTCCAAACAGGAGAAGCTCTTGACTGGCTCATCTCTGGATAAATATGTTCTTTAAAACCTGATTTATTCAGCGGTATAATGCATGCACAGTGCCTTTTAAATGTGACAGTGGGGAAAATACATCGGCCTTCTGCAGGCTTAAATGTCATCTGCAAAGATCAGGCTTTCTCCTCCCTCCCTCCCTCGCACTCATGGGCCATCCTTTGATTTACTGGGTTTTAGAGGGGCGTGGGACCAGCACAGTTCTGGGACACAGCATCCTACAGCCCCAGCACTGCCCCAGTGAAGGGCAATAGCAATCAGAGGAACAGGGTTTGGGATGCAGGAAGCAGAACCCCCGGAGCTAAGCAGGCTGCCCAGAAGACTGATGCCTCATTGGGGTGCCCAGGTGATGGGAAGGTGGCTCTGTTTGTGCCCATGTCAGCAAAACAGAACAGAATGACACTTCTATGTAAATTTAGAGCCTACCAGAAAACAAAATAGAAGCAACAAAGTGGAGTAGAAAATAGCCCTTCAAGTCACTTAGCACAGGCACGATGAGAGGCTCGGGCAAGCTGGAGAAATTACTCTGGAAAACGAGCACTCCAGAAACCACATAAACTGCTCCAAAGACACAGAAAATTACCCTCGTATTGATCACGGGCACTGAACCGAACCAATAACGTGCACGTCCCCACACCAGGGATGCCCCCACCACCCCAAAAATGAGCCTTCATCTCCCATGGAGGAATGAGGAGCTCTTGGAAACACATGCAGAAGAGAAGGCACCATGGAGGGAAGCTCAAGCCTCTGTGCAGGTATGGGTGAGGGTAACCAAGGGGGAATGGCACCCACAGGCACTGCAGACCTGGCCAAAAGGAAAACCAGTGTAAAACGAGGATTTTCAGCTCCTAGTGCCAAAGGAGAGCCATATGGATCACACTGCAGAGAGGCAATGCGTGTTCCAAGGTTCCTTTACCAGCGCAGTGGCAGGCAGGGGATGCCCTCGGTCCACTGGGCATCGTTGCCCTGCAATCAGATCCCTGGACACCCACTGAGGAATGGCCCTGCCAAAAGCAGCAGCTGGGACGCTGTAAAAGATGAGGGGGGGAAAACTGAACATGTTTTTCTTTCAGCTGATTGAACCAACTGTAGTAAAAACTTCACGTTTAATATGCATGACCCGCTCCGTGCTCTCCACTCTAATAGATTGGTGGAACGTCTCGCGCAGCTAAATCATCAGGGGTGGATGGAACACAAGGGGCCAGTTGTAAATGCGAGGGGAGAAAAAGAAACAGCTAAACTAGGCCCATAAACCACGAACCAATTTTCCCATCTTGGCCAGCTGATTTTAAATGGGAAATGTGATCACGGAGCAGGAATTCGGGTGTTCCTGGGTGCACATGAAGGGCGAAGCGTGATGAGTGCTCCAGGAACGCGATGGAGGGTATGAGCCTTTATCAGCTGCTACGTAAAACCCTGCTGCTGAACCCGCTGGTTTCGAGCCCTGTTTAAAGGTGTGTTGTAGCTTTGCTGCCTCCTAATTACCTCCTGTGTTCTGCATAATTCTTGTTTTTCATTTCAGATGGGAAAACACCATAAACTCGCTAATTAATTACTCTTTAGCCCCAGCGTATCCACTGAAGCGCACGCTGTGCTCTGCAAGCTCCCCATGGCACTCCATGGGAATCGTCCTCACTGAAATCCCTGGAAAACAAAGGAGAGGACGAGGAGCTGGGTCCTGGTTTTTGGCCTTGGCAGCAGTCGCTCATGCAGTCCCCCCCTCACTGTGCTGTGCCTGGCTTCTAGAAGCAGAATCTACCGTGGAGGTGACAGTAACCCGTGATTGATGGACTTCATATTTCAAAAGCCCACGAGCTGTCAAAGGGAAGATGCTCAGAGAATCGAAAGCAGCTCCAAGTACCACTGGGGCTGGAGCAGGGTACAAATAATACAATCAAAAGGGGAAAAGGAAGAGGAAGGAGGTGGCACTGACCGAACACCAGGCAGCTCCCCAGCCAGCCCAGGGCTGGCTCCCAAACTCACCATCCTGGTCTTGCTCCCAGTGTTTCCAGAAGGCTCTGTGGGTTCTGACAGCCAGCCCTTGCCTCTCTGCTCCTCCTCATTCGTCTGCTGTCTCCTTTCTCACTGAAAACATCAGCTCCGGTTTACTTGATCCCATCACGGTCTGTGCCTGATGATGGTTAAAGGCAGGGCAGGGTAATGAATCCAGGGGGGAAAAAAAACCCAAGTGAAAGCCTGGGCAGGTGAGTGAATCACTGCTTGGCACACAGAGCTGGAAACCAGTGCTGTGTTTTGCGTTGAGAAATCACTTGTGTTTTCATTAACTCCAAACGCAAACAGGCAAATGCAAATGTTAGGATTTCAAATGGAAACACACCCATGTGAAAACAAGAGGTTTCATTTCCTTAACTCCTAAGGAATGCCTGCTGGTGGGAAGGTGGGGAGCTCAGCCCTGTTGAAGTGTGGGGCAGGGGCGTTCATGGCTGCATGGTGCATCCCTGGTGCAGGGGTCCATGCCGGTAGCCATCACCTTGCACCATGTGCTCCCAGAGCCCCAGGAAGCTGTTTGTGCCCCTCCTGCTCCATCAATCATTTTTTCATAGAGTTGGAAGATTACAGCTCCTTATGCACTACCTCCGGTCCAGCCTGTCATGGCAAAACTCCGGGGAGAAATTCACGGAGATGTATTAAAGCCATCCAACACTTTCTCCATGGCAACTGGGACCGGTGCAAATCCCATCAGCCCCGCCTGGAGCGGGATGAGAGCTCCTCTGCTTCCAGGCGCCCAGATTCCAGCAGATAGAGGGGAAACGTCTCCATTAGCTCAAGATGCCTCCCACCTATAACACACAGTAACATTTGATTAACACCAAAGCACTTATCACTTAGGAAATACATTTGTCTGAGGCTCCCCAGGAACTCACGCTTGCCCTGGCCTTTTCTTTGCTCATCTGAGAGATCCTGTATGAACACATATCCCTGAGTGCTGGAGCAGACAGGGAAAGAGAAGGGATGCGGCTGGGCAGAGCACAGTCACAGCCACACGCAGGACACCACTGAACTGCCTGACAGGGATCAAATGAGAGTGTGTTTATAACGATGCATGATTAATAACACTATTACTGGTGCTCAGAGCCTCGATCCTTGTTTGCCATCCTGCCCTCACCCCTGGGGGCTTCCGGGTGAAGGGGGAGAGGGAGCTCCCCCGGCAAGGAGCAGATTTCAAGGGTTTAATACCAAAAGTTACAGCCAGAGGAGGTCTTTAAAAATAGCCCGAGGTCTGTGCACGGACGGCACTGCGGGCGAGAGGGATGTCCTACATTCCCCAGCGCGCTTAATCCCTCAGCCTGATGACAAAATCCCCACTCATCCCCCGGTATGAGCTCCCTGCTCCATCTCCAAGAACCTTGCCCATAATTAAGGGCTTCACCTTCCCCAGCAGTTGCCTCAGGCTGGTTTTGGCCAGTGCAGCGGCATCCGTTTTGCTGCCTGTGTAAACCGAGGGGGACAAGGGGACACAGAGCGGGGCTTTGCCGATGTATCCAGCCCAAAGCCTCCCTCTCCGAGTTAAAAACAGTTGTTTGAGGCACTGGAGCGAATCTGCAGCTGCATTTCAACTCAACCCACCACCAAACTGCGAGGGAGCCAAACCCTTTGAAGTCTGCCATGTCCAATCCATTATTAATCACTGTAAATCTGGTATAATCTCTACAAGCATATTCCGCTGCCTACAAATAGGCTGGTGCCAACTTGCTCTAATAAATCCTGCGTCAGGGCAGCTATTGTGTCTCCTCTTCATGCAGCATTTCCCAGCAGAAACATTTAAACAATAACAATCTCTATTTGGTGCAGTCACTTTTGTTTTAGAGGACTACGGTTTAACAGATTTAGAGCTTACAGAAAGGCCTGGATTTATGGCATGGTTTCTTCCCGATGCTTTTTTTGTTTCTAATAGTGCCTGTGAAGCATTAAATGCCTCCATTTGGGCTCCTAACTTCATGCCAGAGCAAGAAAACTGTTCTTCCTACCCCAAACTTCAGGGCTAAAGTTCGACTGAGAAGGGCCATTGCTAAAAGGCAATTGAGCATCCAGAAACAACCTGCTGGTATCCCTGGAGAGCTGGGATGGTGCAGAGAGAAAGAGGGGAAGGACACACAAGCACAAGAGCGAGGACTTTCACAGCGTTAGCAAGAACTGGTGAGTTACCTCCTCCTACCTTTGTGAAGCAGCCATTGAGGGTGAAGATGAGGCTTGATGAGTCCTTTCCCTGCAAGGATGAGTTTTCCATGCAGCCCGCAAGGGAAGTGTTTGCTGCTCCATGCTTGGGAGGAAATGCAATGGTGCTGGGGAAAGGGAACACAGGAAAGAGAGGCCAGAAAGCCCCCAGACGGACACTGGCCACACAGAACCAAACACAAGGGTGAGAAAACTGACCCCCAGTTGTACAGGGGGGGCTATGCAAAGGGAAGAGGCTTGTACTAGGAGCTGACACACAACATGTATATAAACAGGAGCTGTGTATGTAAACTGCTGCAGATTTACCAACACTTCCTTTGCTCTGGTCTGTATCAAACAGATCCTAATTTGTGTGAGCACCGCTGATGTTTGCTTGGAGGAACAGGGGAGCTTTGAGCTCTGACAGTCTCAGACGCACAGACCTTCTCCCATGGCTTCAACATGCGGCTCCATGCACATCAGCCTCCTGTGGCTGCCAGCACCAGAAGCCCTTCTCCATGCTGGCAAACAGGTCTGGGCTGCCTGGCTGCCAAGGAGCAGGGAAGGAGCTCGGGCTGCTCCTGTGGGATGCTCTGTGGGATTCCTGGAACTGGAGGTAGAGCAGCCAGCCCCAGGGATGCTCATCCCTGCTGTCACCCACAGCCTGGCTGCCAGGTCCTTGCGGCAGGGTTTGGTCAGCGTGGTGCCTGAGGATGCTCACTGCAGGCCTCCGTGCTGCGAGCCCAAGCAGCCAGGGGAAGGAGCTGTGAAGGCTGTTAGCCCATGGGCAGGCTGCTTTCTCTCTCACTGACAAAGGAGTCGCAGCTCCCAAAGCGATTTAGCCTGGGAATAAACATCCAAGTACCCCCTGCTAAGGCTGAGGCACTAAATGAGCAAAGCAGAGGGAGGCTGCAGTGAACTCAGCTTCCAGCCACTTGGTTTTCACTTGACTTCCATCGCTGGCAGCTTGCAGGGACTAAACGCTCTCCAAGAGGAGCAGCTCTTCCCTCCCTGTGCCAAGGACTCCGGCCAAAAAATGCTTTTCCCCCTCCCCTGGTGCTGCTCATTAATTTTGTTTGTTTGGTTTCTTTTTTTAAGGCTTTTCCTGCTTTCCCAATTAGGACATGGTTGAAAAAGAAAAGGAAAACTTAAGGCACAGAGAACTCGGCTGGATCCTGAGTGTGGGCAGAGGGCATCGCTGAGATGCTTAAACTCTGGTTATGGGATGGTGCAGGCAGCCAGGCCACCTCAACTTCACCTTCCCCCTCCTCCCGCCAGTGTAACTCATGTAGCATCTTGCCCACATGGATAAATCAGCAGTAAAAGTGCTCTGGGAACTCACTTCAAACCCGTTCATGTCCATGTTTCTGACAGAGCTGCCACAGAAGCTGAGGAGCCAACAAGGCGGTTTCTACCAGGGAAGCAGTGAGACACCGGGCACAGATTACACTTAAATGCCACACAGATGATGAGGCTGCACCCGTGAAGGTTCCTCTCCCCTTTTGTGGCACTGAAAAGGCTCAAGACAGTGATCTGACACAGGAGCTGCCATGGCACAACCTTTCCTGTAGGATCAGGCCTCACCAGAGGTGCTTCCCTCCACCAACACTGGGTACCAAACTCCAGAGCTGCACTTTCCTCCCTCCTGCCCTCACCTTTGGAGCTGTGAGGCTGAAACACGTGTCTAACAACAGGAAATCAGCACCTTCATGTTCACCTTCTGGGAAGCAGTTGGGTATGGCCCTTCTAATGAAGAAGGGTGTTAATTTCACTGCTTGTAGGAGACATCCGAGGCTGACTCCATCACTGTCAGGGAGACCCAGGGGAGCTGGCGTGAGCTGTCTGCTGGGAGCCAAGAGCACAAAGAGCCTATTTTGTATTTGGCTTTTTTCATTTACAGAAAGAATGAGACACCCGCTGTGCCTGCTCCCTGCGAGCAGCTTTCTAACCTAGGGCAGCACTCCCTGTACTTGGAGTCCCTCTGGAAGCCTGTTGTGAGCAGTGATTTTGGTAAATAAACTGCCAGGGGCATTCCCATCACTTCATTAAGGGGTACGTGCGTGACCCCCCAGGATCAGGTTTTCTGATGGCTCAAATCAGGCTTCATGGCAGTGCCTGGAGTGAAGTGAGGACTAATTGCATCTCCTGGGGCTCCAGCACATCCCGCCCTCCTCCCTGATTGCAGGCAGCTCATTAGTGTGCTTCTGGAAGCATAGCACCCCATGTGGGGCTGGCTGGTGGGGAGCTGGGACACAGTGCTGCACATCCCCTCCATGCTGTGCCCTTCCCTTGGCATCACCCTGACCCCCACACCAAGGCACAGGCAGGTATTTGGCCAGGTTTGATGTCCCCAGGCACACAATACAGTCTGGGGTTGGTTAAGGCTTGCAGACACACCAGACATGGACCAGCATCACTTCTGCCAGGGCAGGGTGAGGAAGGGGGATGAAGGCATCCCTTCACCCAGGGGTGCCGCTACACAAGGGCGCACGTTGGCTCTTTCTTGGCACTTCCCAAGGCTTACGTGGAGAAGGAAATGAAAGGAAGGCTTCGGTAATGACGTGTGATTGGCTGCAGTAACAAGCTTCTCCAAAAATACCTTTCCTCCGCTGGAGATATTCTATTTTTAGAGCCTTAACGCATCACACCGGCAAGCAGCGGGGTCACAGCTTACCTTTAAACTCTGACAGTCCTCTGCCCTTGCACAGGCACCTTGGGGCTCAGCCGGATCTCAACCGTGATGACACACAGCAGGCCCACGAGCGAGACCCAACTTCACCTATTGCTCAGGTGGGACATGTCTGGGCACCCTCCATCCAGCAGATCCCTTTCTCCTTTACCCTGTGCAGTTGATGCTTGCCTATGGAAACAACTGATAACAAAACTGCACAATGAGACCTTCAAAAGAGGAAATTCCATCCCTTCTATAAAGCAGACACCCGTGCTCAGGCACAGAAGTAACCCCCTGGATGTCGGGATTCTTCTCCCTTGCTCCCACAGATCACCAAATAGCGGTGGTCCATCAAATTACCGCCGACCTGGAGCCGCTCGGCAGCAATGGGACAGGGGAGCTGCCGGGCAGGGCTGTGGGACAGCCACGTCTGCACAGGCAGCGGCGGAACGGAGCACTCAGTGTAAAACTGAAGCCCCGGCAGCTCCATCAGCACAAGAAAAGCCGTCATTTGCATGTTAAAACACCGCGGCTTGCAGCGGCAATTTCCCTCTTTGTAGCTTTCTTGGTTTACACAGGATAACGCAATGAAGCTCCTCATCTGCAATACCTATTCAAGAACGTGATAGGGCTTTTTTCCCCCTAAACCTACACATCTTCTGCAGAAAGTCTTCCCACTGAGACATCTGAATACCTGCTGCCAACAGCTCTTGAAAGAGATTTTTAACGCGAAGGCTCAAGAGGAGATGCCTGCTCATGGCATAAGCCCACCCAGCTGCAGGCAGCTGCCTCTGAGGGTCCCTGCCCTGCAATAAGTCACATCCGCTCTGCTTGTCATGCTCATGATGATCACTAGAACAGTGGGAATGTGTTCTCCTGACTGACACAGAGTCCTGTTTCCCCAGTAATGAACCCCAAGACATCAGCAGCCCCCTTACCTGTCCCCATTTACACCAATGGAATTGATGCATCTCTGATAATGCCCCTCATCATTTTCCCACTGCTCTGATTACTGCCTGACAGCTTTCCTGTTTGCCCAAATCAAAAGACAATCTCTGCAGACTTCCCTTAACAAGATCCTGCATCACTTCCTTCAGGAACAAGCAAATTAGCTCATGGGGAAAAAAACGTCCTCAACCTGGTTCTGAGATCTGGAAGCAGATATCAAATTTGAGTAATCTATGTGACATTTACTTTTAAAGTGTCCTCTTGACTGAAGAGGAAAGAGAAGTGAAGTGCAAACGACTTGATTGGTCCCTTGTCAGGGCCTGCAGATACAGCCTCGCCTGGTGCCTCTGCAATGAAGCACAGCAGAGACAGAGCGTGTGCCTGGCTACGACACCCAGTACCCGTCCCACCACACTCCTGCCATTCCATGCTGTGCTCACCGGTTCTGCTGTTTCCTGGGCTGCTCCTGTCTTTTCCCAAGCTGTGCTTCCCAGGCGCTGGCCAGGCTGGGCTGTGACATTCCCAAGGGCCACAGCATCCTCACCAGCACCCAATGGGGCAGAGCAAGGACCCGGTTTCAGGGAGGCACTGCTGTTATCACTCACTTCGTGAGATATTCCCTCCCTTATCTAAGGCCAGTTCAAGGCAGATAGGGGGGAAAAGCAGCTTTCCCTGGGCTTCCTTGCAGGAAGAGAAAGGCTGCCCTGGTCTGGCATAACAGAGAGAAAGAAAGGCCATGCAAGCACTAGGAGACACCTTGCCCTCTAATGAGGTGATTTATAGCTTCCATCAAAGCAGGCTCCTCTGCAGCTGAGCTCAATTTCCCCAGGGAGCTGCACTCACCCTGCCTGGCCAGGCTCCCACTGGAATCCCATCCCCAGCTGGGAATCCTCACCCTGACCATGCTGGGGTGGGGGTGCTTCAACAGGTGATTCCATGCACTCCCTTATGTGGAGGAGTTTGAGTTCCTGGTCCACTGACACAAATGTAATCTGTTTGTAAGTAACATCCATAATCTGCTTAACATAAGTAATGAACCTCCTCTTATTTGCACTTGCCAGTGTTTATTACTTCTTTCATTGTGCACAAATCTCCCACCAAGCTCAATGAGAAAGGCTTCCTGGATTTAGTTCATCCCAAATCCCTGCGTGCCATGCACTCTGCATGGATCATAATGATGTGAAAAACATGTGCATGTAGGGACAGGCCAAGGGGAATGGCTTGAACCTGCTCAAGGGGAGCCTCAGCTGAGCTCTTAGGGAGAAGCTCTTCCCTGTGAGGGTGCTGAGGCGCTGGCACAGGGTGCTCAGAGAAGCTGTGGCTGCCCCATCCCTGGCAGTGCTCAAGGCCAGGTTGGACACAGGGGCTTGGAGCAAGCTGCTCCAGTGGAAGGGGTCCGTGCCCATGGCAGGGGTTGGAGCTGGAGGAGCTTTAAGGTCCCTTCAACCCAAACTGCTCCATGATTTCTAAAGTTGCACCACAACAGGTATTGAGAGAAATGTCACCACTGCTGTCACCTCCCAAGGACCTGCGCTGCTGTGTCCCACACCTAACAGTGTAAAACAGATAGGGCTGATAGCAGTAACAGGGCTGTGATGTTTGGGAATTCCATTAAAAGTGAGGAATTCCATTTGCGGGAGGCTCGACACCGTGCGGCTGCTCTGGCACACCAGCGCTGCTCCAGGAACATGCGTGTTCCATCAATGCAAATTGCTCACTTGCATTAGAAAATCAAATTATTCCCATTTATAGATGTTTAATGAGGCTTCCTGAAGTGTAAAATGCAGTGAATGCTTCCAGGCTGGGAGCAGGAACGTGGAGCTGCAGGGGTCCGTGCACTGCTGCAGCCTGGCCCGCAGCCGCCTTCCCACCATCCCTTCCCATGGCTCCCCTTTCCTGGCAGCAATTGGGGGGGACAGACCGAAACTGGCTCATTCATTAGCAAACTGTTCCATAATGAATCAGTTTGTACAGAACCGCTCCTGTGCACATAATCTTGCATTTTTCACAAAACTATCATCACTTTTCAGTTAGTTCCACTCGAGGAAACAAGGGCTCATGCTTTCATTTGAGCAGATGAATATGGATGACGTGCTTGTTCTCTCTGGGGCTGGGGAAAATCAGATTACCCAGCTTCCCAGCAAGTGAAATATGGGTGGTGGAAGCAGTGGTGCCTGTGGGCTACTCCAGAACCCCCCTCCAGCAAAGCGGTCTCCAGAGTGCCTAAAGTTTGGCCAGTTTTGGGTTGCTGCTCTTTAATGGCACCAGAAGCACCCATCACAGTGCTTACTGTTTATCTATTATATCTATTATAGATATAGATATATATATATATCTATTATATCTATTATTTCACCTCCCCAGGATGAGGATGGGTCAAGTAGAGGTGGGAAGGAACATGGCATGAGGCGACCTGCATCCCCTGCACGTTTGTCTCTTCGCTGCTTTGCCCAAGCCTCGTGCTTCCCCCACTGCCCATAACTCATCCTCCAAACCCAATCCCCATTATCATCATTTAAACTGCAAACGGCCACAGCTTGACAGGAGAAAATGCCCACACACGCGTTCAGACAGAACGCCTGTTGTTAGCAAAGGTGCCATTGCTGTAAAGATGCGACCAGGGATGTGAAGCACTCGCCCGCCCTGAAGAAGTGTCCTTTGGAAAAGCTGAGCTGCTCACCTCATTTATGCATGCACTGCTCTCCTTCCAGCCCAATATCCATGGATAACCCTTCCAGTAATGCCTGTGCAACAAGGAGCAACAGAGGCTTTAAAATGAACCGCACTACTCACTTGCCTGTAATTGAGGCTTTGCTAATCCAGGAGAATATTTCCCTTTTCTCCTTTTTTCTTCCCTTTGTATTGGCAATAACATTAACTCAGTGAAAGCATGATTAAGGTAATTAAATGAGCAATTTACTTATTAATAGATTGCAACCTTTCCAACAAGCTTTCCTGGGTTCTCCTCCTTTGAATGCAAGCTCCTTGTGTGTGGGAAGGAAGGGGTTGTCCAGGGATGTGACCCAGAGCTCAGCTCCCTGCTCCATCAGCAGGACCCAGCATCCCTGCCCAGGGGCTTGGGAAGCTCCTGCTGTGCT